CAACCTGGGGAATAGTTACATGGGGAGAAGAGGAAGGAAGGATGATTAGATGGCCGTTGTAGTATGAGTTGCCAGGTTGGTAAATTTCAGCCAGAAGATCAATGTAAGAATACTAGTAAATCACAGTGAGCCAGCCTAACAACGTACAATCAGGAGGCAGTTTGAGACCCACCTTGGCGAGATGTCACAGCCCTGTCTCATGAAGGCGCCGAGGGAGAACCAGAGACTGTTGAATATCCCAAACTCGTTGGTCGATTCATTAGTCTGGATCTGGCCATCCTCGTACTCCTCTGTGTGCCACTCGTATGGGCTGAATCGGCTGACCAGGAAGAGCACCACGCTCACACCGATGTAGGCAAACACGATGCACATCCAGATCTCGTAGGCCAGAGGGTCCAGGAAAGAGAAGACTCCAGGTTTAGACTTCTGGGGCTTCTTGATCATGATGGAGATCCCCAAGGACATGAAGGGCTTGGAGAAGTCAATGACTTCTTCTCGGACGAGGGTGATGGTCAACGGTGCCACGGCTATATCAGCTTTCTGGGTTAGAGAGGAGGAAGGAGCATATTGTTCTAGGGAAACAGGGTGGGGTTTAGTTGTGTTTAAAGGGAACTACTGGGAATGTTTCAATAGATTGTATACAGCAGGTCATTGGATGCGATCAGTATTAGAAGATCCATGTATCTCTTTTCTTACCCCATAGACGAGCTCTCCCACCATTCCGTTCCAGATCTTGGTCTCAGCGTCTCGGGCTCCGTATTTTCCATCCCCCACAATTTTAAGCTGGTATTTGAAGCCACAGTGCTTGGCTATTTCAGCGGCCAGATCTACACAGTAGCCCTCGTATCTTTCATTGTCTAGAAAAAGGTCAGCATTCTTCTTAAGCATTACATATGGGGCTTCCTGAGGGAGAAAATGACAAATACTGTTCAGTCCAGTAGGCTTGCCTTTAGGCTTTACATCATGGTATACATGCTAGCTTTGTACAGAGACAGATGAATGAATAGTTCATCACAAACTTTATGTTGTAATAGACTTAGAGCTCTATTTAATATGGAAAGCTGAAGCGTTACAGATTCCGTGATAGAAATGTTAAGGTAATTTCCGATTGAGCCGACATATGCAGCATTTACTGTGAATGCAGTCTCTGCTAAAGCAGGAATGCTGCCTTTAAATTTCAATCATGCTGTAAAGCTGAACTTCCGCAAATCGGAGTGAATAGAGCCCCTAGACAACTATGGGTTGGTCTGTGTACGTTGTACGGTGTCCATCTTAGGACAGCCTCAGTGTCAATATGGACACTGTAATGCCGTAAAAACATTATTCTATGGACTAGTAACAATTACTAAGTGAGAAACTAATCTAAGGAAATTATATCCAATTGGTGTGTATTCAAAAGTAATTTGGTATGAATAGAGTCAATGATAAGTCATTACCAAGATTGTGGTCACAATGACAGTTTTGTTTTCCATCCCGGTTGTGTCATTCGGGAACACATCTGATTTTGTGACAGCCATTTTGTCAACTTCGTTCCAATATCCAATCTGTGGAGGAAATAATGAATAGTGAATGAACAATGCCATAATGTCATGAGACGGTAGACAGAGCTGTTGATTCACATGGTGGAAATGGACTGAAGCATCTACACAGCCATGTGACGGTAGACAGAGTTGTTGATTCACATGGTGGAAACGGAATGAAGCATCTACATAGCCATGAAACGGTAGACAGAGTTGTTGATTCACATGGTGGAAACGGACTGAAGCATCTACACAGCCATGTTATAAATTCTCTGTCATTTCTTCTCTTGGTTCGGGAAACTTCTCTCTATGCAAAAAATGGTTGATTTCTGTAGGCCAATTCCATCCAATGTTGTGACTTTAGATCTTTGTTCTGATGGTTCAGTGCTGATGTGCTGTTGTCTTGTTCCATCACAGACCAACACATTAAAGACTGTCTATTAAGATTCTGACATGTTCTAGCCATATTCATATTCAGAAACACTAGCATACCTTCACAGGACCATTATTTTTCAGCTCCATGATATTAACTGAGTAGTTGACTCGTTTGCCATGTTGATCGAACTGAATGTTCCCTGTGAGGCCGTCCACACGAACCTAAAAGGACACAAAAGCACAGCGTCAGAATTGCAAGACGCCACAATTAAATACCTCTGTCATAGACAAAACCAATTAACTTTCTCCACACATATTTGGATTCACATTGCCTTGTCTAAGCTCTGAAGCTGGAGGCTCAGGGGAGAAATCCTGAGAGTGTGTGGGCAGACTATTGTCACTGTTAGCTCAGGGGAGAATATGCGTGCGTTTGTTTGTGTGTGTGTGCGTGTGTGTGTGTGTGAGTGTGTATGTCCTTATACTTCAGTCTCTGTGTGTGTCTGTGTGTGTATGTGTGTGTGGTATAGCTAGCCAGCTGTTGCCACGGCAACCCCATGCTATCACCTGTTTTAGTGCACGCTCGATCTCCACTCCCTGCGCCCAGGGCACGGCGGGGTTGGCCAGACAGTCACCGTTGTTGCCCTTCCTGGCGATGTCAATGCGCTGCTTGTGCAGGTAGCGGAAGGCCTCCGTCATCACCTGCACCGAGTCATAGGTCAACGCAGACGTGTACTGCAATAGAACAGAGGGGGAAGGGTGTGTGAGTGTGTGGGGGGGATATGGGGACACAGGGGAGGGGGAGGAAGAGGTGGTGTGTGTGTGAGTGGGGTTGTGAGGACATGTTATTGTGCGTGTCTGTGTGTGTGTGCATGCGGCTGTGTTCCTGGGTTTGCACGCGCACAGTATGTGCACAGTATGCGTGAGTGAGAATGGGGGAGGAACATTTTTAATCGGCAGACACCTCACAGCTCCCCGGAGACAGAGGAATGCTAGCTGAGTGCCTCTCAACCAAACCCCCATGTGGATATCTACTCACCCTAATCTTACTGTCGGCACCAGGGTATTCCTTCTCCTCCAGAGCCTCCCACCTCTGGTCAAATTTGGATACCAACGGGTCATCGAAATCCACAATCTGGAAACCTGACACGTTGGCTCCGCCATATTGGATTTTGGAGAGGTCCCCATCCACGAAACCCTGAAATTAAAACAAGGAAATCAAACGAGGAGATAAAATGGAAATGTTTGCCATCATACAAATAAAGAGCTTGGGACTATACGATTGTATCTAAATTTTTGTCAAAATTGAGTTATTGACATAGCCTTGTTCTGTTCAATATTCTCTACCTATGTAGTACTCTAAATATCCCCAATTGATGTTATTAAGTTCAAAATAATAATAATAGATAAACATTTTTGACACCAATGAGGGTTTGGAACTTTAAAGCCAATTATCTCAGAATCATCTTTTTGCAGATAGAACCTTAAAGTCCCAATTTCTCGAAATGTTAGCGGAAAAACAAAACGGGAAAGGAATGATTTAATAGATTAAGCTAACTAATTGGGTAATACGTAGGGGGTTCAATTGGAAGACAATCACTCTGTGTTCTCAATGTCTTATCACTATGCATTGAGCTTGATAAATTATTTTACAAGTCGCTTTGTTCTTCCTGAGATTCCAATACCTCCGCTGGTTAACAGAGGTCTGAAAACTTACCAAATTTGCAATGATGTAGTGGTAGCCTTTCACATGTCTGCCAATGGTGATGACCTGGGGGCAACATCAGATAGGGAAACAGAACAGAACCATAATCAGTGGTGGAAAAAGTATCCAATTGTTATACTAAAAGTAAAGATATGTTAATAGAAAATGACTCAAGTAAAAGTGAAAGTCACCCAGTAAAATATTATTTGAGTAAAAGTCTAAAAGTATTTGGTTTTTAAATATACTAACTATCAAAAGTAAATGTAAGTAGGAATCATTTCAAATTCCTTATATTAAGCAAACCAGACAGCACCATTTTCTTGTTTCTTTAATTTACGGATAGCCAGGGGCACACTACAACACTCAGACATAATTTACAAACGAAGCATTTGTGTTTAGTGAATCCGCCAGATCAGGTAGTAGGGATGACCAGGGATGTTCTCTTGATAAGTGTGTGAATTGGACCATTTTCCTGTCCTGCTAAGCATTCAAAATGTGGGGGAAATGTATGAAGTAAAAAGTACATTATTTTCTTTAGGAATGTAGTGAAATAAAAGTAAAAGTTGTCAAAAATAACATTAGTAAAGTAAAGTACAAATACACCCAAAAGGTACTTAAGTAGTAATATTTTTACTTAAGTACTTTACACCACTGACCATAATGATGTGTAAACCAAACAAGACAGTCTCCAAGTAATCATATTCCTCATGGTACAGCAGTCATGTTTGAGAATGAAAATGGTATACTTCAGTGGAGTTATAACTCTTAATCTACCAAACACAAAAAAAACATCCATTGTCATATTTTATGGCGGAGCGATTAGTGCTTTTTGAGGTCGGTTCGGTTTCTGTTCGATTCTAAAAAAAAAATCACGGTTTTCGATTTTTTTGGAGACATTAAATGCACAATGCATTATGTGGATTGAATGCTGTAATAACACAGAATAAAACAATTTATAAAAGTCCCACGATGGTAGTTGATGCCTATTACTGCACATATTAACCATCCTTTATTCACATTACTTTACTTTAATAAAATATTGTTGTTGTTGTGTATTTTACATTAGTTTTATTTGATTACTTTATTATTTCATTCCAAGTCATCATCTCATCATCTAGAGCTGCTGCCTATGCTGTCTGACTAAACCACTATTTTAGTAGTTCCTTAAAGTAAATAAGGCATATTTTTATGACTGCTGAATACCAACTATCAATCACTTACATCATGTATTTTCAGGTAGGGATACCTCTCAAAGCAACTGCTCTCTATCCCTCTCGATCACGCGTTCTTTGTCTCTTCTCTCCCTCTACACACCAGAGAGGAAGAGGCGATGCGAGAGGTTTCACTCTCGCCAAAATCTGTCCAAAATGAGCCCAATGCGTATCTATGGCTTATTTTGGAACTAAGCTTGCTGCCTGACTTCCTTCTTTTGGAACAACAACTCCCATTGTTAGGGCGGAGACTTGAGCATCTCGTCATTATATACAGATCTCTGCCCACACCGACCAGACAAGTAGGCACGCAATGGATTATGGTCTTTGTAGTTAATTACCACATTGTTTGCACTATGTAGAATATTGGCCTGTAGGAAACTACAACTCCCTACTACATCGCACAGTTCAGGCCGGATCTGATTTATCTCTAGAGAAACTGCGCACTGAGCTCACAGAAAAAACAGAATTCTAATAATTGAGCCGACGTTGGTAAATCATTGAACAAATATCGGTCAATTAGTTGTTAAAAAACGAAAAATAACCACAATTTCTGTTAAATGCTCAGCACTATCATATTTCCACATTATACCTGTAGCATGTATGACATTCACAGCCTTATCAATTGTTTCGATTAAAAGTCATAACCCACTGCCACCTGCCAGTGTTATCCCTTGTCACTACTGAAACCAAAACAGGAAGCCCATTTCAGTAACTACCTCAAAAGCCATTTTAGTAACTACCTCAACTGACACACCTGCAGCTAATCCCACCACATGAGTAACACCTCCACTTAGAAATCCAGTTACATATAGAGATTTGAAGAATCATTTGAATAAAAATGCATTTTAAGTGACTTCCTTTGGCAGGAGAGTGTGACCAGGTTGGATTCTGTTTCTCTCAGATAAAACCTCTACCATGCAGCAGCGGGGCGAATATGGGCATTGGTTAAACAAACGTCTGCCTGCTTTAAATACTTATCAATGGACTATCCCACGGTCTATGGGAAGGTTTATAAATAACCTGTTTATGTGAATCTCTATGCCTTTTAATTCTGTTGTTGTAGTCTAACATAACAATTAGAGGGATTGTTGCAAGGCCTCAGTCCACTTGGTGGGTAGATGTGAATAGTGTGCAGGCAAGGATGCACACACACATAAGCAGGTGACACACAGACACACGTTTGATTTGTGGGGACCAAACAATTGATTCCCATTCAAAATCCAAATTTCCCTAACCCTAAACCTAACCCTAACCCTTAACATAACCTTAACCCCAAACCCCAAACCCCTAACCCTAAACCTAATCCCTAACCCCTAATTCTAATCCTAACCCTAATTGTAACCATAAACCTAACCCCTAAGCCTAAAATAGTCTTGTCCCCACTTGTATGAATATTCCTTGTTTTACTATCCTTGTGAGGACTTCTGGTCCCCACAAAGCTCGTAAAACCAAACACACACCAACAACATCTCACTCGCTGCATTACACACACTGAGCTTGTACCTGCTCCATAATGTCTCGGACTTTGTCCTGTTCACAGTCAAGGATGACCCGTCTCTCCTTCTTGTTCTCCAGGTCTTGGAAGAGGGAGCGGTAGGCCTCGTCTTTCCTCTCGTCCTTCAGGTTGCCCACGTTAATGGCCGTCACCTGCCACTTCCTCTCCGCAGCCATGTCCAGCACCACCTGCAGTGTGGTCAAACCTGGACAGACAACAGGGTCGTGTTAATTCGGCACGAAACGGAAAAAAATGCTCTGAAACTGAATGAAACGAGAAGGCACTATTTGAACTACTCCAATAAGAAATGCTTGTTTTTGTTTTATGTTGCGCTATGGTGTGTTCTAATGAACCTGACCCATGAATACAGCATTGTAGGGTTTATATCCATGCAAACAGATGGATATATGACATTAGAAGAACCAACATCAACCAACATTTGTGGTGAAAGGTAACACACAGTTCTACTACCACACTGTCTGCCTAAAAGACCCACACAGTCCAGTTCATCATACTGTAAGAATTACTTCTGTGTACAATTACCTCTGCCCCATTTAATCATTTTACCTCTGCCCCATTCTTTCTGTACAATGCTCTACGAAAAGTTGGCCAAGGCTTAAGTTAATTGTTACATCAACTCTAATGTTCCCATTCCACTTGTGTCCCACCTTGTTTAATGACTGTACAAAAGAGTAGTGTATATTGATCTCAACCTCCATAGAGGGCAGTTGAAGCATGATTTGATATTAAAGGGGGTGAGTGTTTCATCCTAGTTGGTGAATTACAGCTAATTGATTTGATTCGACTGGGCAGCACTGTTCATGAAGGTAAGATGGGGGGGGGTTGTGAAGATAGTAGATGGAGGCAAGCATTTTCCTCAGAACACACTGTAAGTCATGATTACTGCAGGGTCATTATGACTCAGTTAAGGTTGACTGTTTCTCCGATGCCTATTAAAGAAGATAATTGGAATTTGCTCTGATTTAAGCTCCGCTCAACATGTTGTGAGGCAACGAGAAAATGCCGGCTAATGGTCAATATTGTAAGTTATTAGGCCTATGCGTTGGGTAAAATTGAAACATACTGTATTTTAGAAAACATCTTCACAGAGTGGAAAGGATTTGGTTCATCCTTTGTGATGCATGTTTATTTAATGTTCTGATTCAGCATTACATGTGAGAAGCATTTTCATGCTTTTATGTCGTTAGGAAATATTTGTCTCTTCCTGGGATAGTCAGGAATCATCACACCATACAGTAGCTTTACTATATTACTGCCGTTTAGAAACCTTCAAAGCTATTCACAAACCCTAAGCATCGTCAATAAACAGATTCCGACACTACATTGATAACGTGAATGCTAGAGAACCCTGTTAGAATTCCCTTCGGTTGGAACTGAACACCTTGAATAACGATTCAAAGCCCACAAAATGTAAATAAGTGATATATGCAATATTTTACAGTTGGGATTCAAACAAATATTTCCAATACAAATTTAGAGAAATCATGTAGAAAAATCGTTATAGACAGGATGATTTAATTCTATACTCACTGCATACTTATAGGTCAAGTATTGGGTCAATACTTATTGTGTTCATTGTGTTTTTCCCTTTGTTTTACATGACTGCAGCTCTACTGTCTTCACAGTGCCACTGTTTTTACACCTTAGAGTATCAATGCCCTTCTTTCTCCTCAAACCCTGGCCTGTATTGTACTTTGGACACAGATCACCCAATACTACAGTATATCTACAGGTAACATACTGTAAGTGAATTTGAAACACCATACCATACCGGTAATGAACATTTCTGTGAACAATATTCATATCATTCCACATCGTGCCAGCCTTGAATGCCATTCTTAATATCAACAAAAACATCACCAACCAATAAAAACAATAGACCAATGGGGTTTCTCCTTCATTTTGGGCATCGAGCTGGGCTGATTTCCCATGCAGCTTCCCTCCATCATGGCGGGTAGTGGGTGGCTGACAGACGGGCTGTGGAGACAGCTAGCACCCTGGGAGAGGAGGGGTGGTGAGGCTGAAGGACAGTCAGAGGCTGTCAGAGAAGCTGTCTCTCACCCACAGGGGGGGCAAAGGCTGGGAGAAGAGCCAAAACACACAGACACGTCCAGAACATCTATCTTGAGTCTAATTCAAGATTCAATCCATTGTCGATAGAATTAACCACACTTTAAGTTCAGTCAGAATATAAAACATTGTACTCAAGGTGTGAACCTATACTTGCATTACCTCTCTCTCTAGACTAAAGCCCCAATTCAATTGCATGCAGATAAATCACTATCCAAGATGGCGTAGCAGTGCGGTCGTGTTCTTTGTTGTGTGTTCGTGTAAATAGCCTGTTTTTTTTGTGCATTTTTTTGTATTTTTCGTACATATTTCCCTATCACACTTTTCATCCTTCTACAAAATATACTTTCCTGCAACCCGCCTCACTCAATGTGGAACGGATTATATTATTGACTTACCTTTTATCTAGAATCTCCAGCTGAAACTAGCCAGCCAGCTAATTAGCTACTTGCTATTAGCCACCATTAGCGGTTTTCACCCAGAACATCGGATTTTCTGCCGGAATAACTGAATCACTGGACATTAACACCGGATCGCAACTAGCTAGCCACAACCGAATGGGTGTTGCTGTTGGCTAATCACCACTGCCCCCGAAGCAAGCACCAGTTAGCCTTGAGCTAGCCTCGAGCCAGGCCCATATCCCGGCTATCTACCTCTCTGTCTACCGGACGGGAGTAGCCAGCTAACAAGCTACTTGCTATTAGCCACCTTTAGCGGTTTTCCACCATTGTCCTTGGCCTGCACTACCTACCAGCCAGCTCTAGCCTGGACTATTATCAGCCAGTCTGCACTGTCTGCACAGCGCATTATCGACCCAGAACATATAGTTTTTTCTGCCGGAATCACTGAATCACTGGACCTTTAACACTGGATCATCGCAACTAGCTAGCTGCAACCAAAAGGATGTTGTTGTTGGCTAATCAGCCTTGAGCTAGCCTTGAGCCAGGCCCATCTCCCGGCTATCTACCTCTCTGTCAACCGGACGGGACCTCCTGGTGTTGACATGGAGCCCCGCCGATCCAACACGACTGATCTGCCGACGAAATCGTCTGATGTGGTTTCAACAGACTTCCCGTTACGACGTCGACCACGAAGATCCATCTGCTAGCCCCGGCCCGCTAGCACACGCAAGCCGTGGCCTCTTGCTCGCCAGTGCTGTAGCAGCCCCCGAACTACCTCCGAAGTCTCCTATTGCTGTTCACCGGACCTTATGATAACTCAGCTATACAGCTGATGCCTGCTGGACTGTTCCTTTATACGGTACCGCATCCTGTTTATGTTTAGCCTCAGCCCAAACTTTGTCGCCATTACCAGCTGTTGTCTTAGCTCTCTCGAATAACACCTGTGATTGCTTTATGCCTCTCTCCCATGTCAATATGCCTTGCTTATTGCTGTTTCGGTTATTTCTTATTGTACTATTTCACTGTAGATCCCCCAGCCCAGCTCAACCTGCCTTAGATAGCTCCTTTGTCCCACCCCCCATACACGCAGAGACCGACTCAATCGGTGCCTCCAGTGATGCTATTTCTTTCATCGTTTCCCAACGCTTAGGTTTACCTCCACTGTACTCATATCCTTCATATCTTGACTGCCTGATCATTCT